ATTTGACACAAAGGGAGATAATTCTCTATTACCGTTAAAGATAGGCTCCCAGAAAAGTATTTATCGGATGTTTTTTTCCAATAAAACTATGGCAATTTTGGTATATATGGAAAGTAGAGATATCCAATCTTACTAGAAAAATACTGGATTCCCTGAAAAACACTCATGGGGCGTATACAGGACAAAAATGTATGGGTTCCCCTAATCGACAGCCCGACGATTAGGAATACCTGCACGCGTGACGTCGAAAGTTGCACGCAAAGATTGAGCGCTTGATGTACGTGTTGATAAACTTTATGAAGAATTAGACGTACAACACTTTCTGAGATAAAAAATCACGGAAAAAGACGCGGGCAGTGGATAATCCGAGAATTTAATTAGAATTCGATATTTGTAATAAATAGTCAGCGATTAAAGACAACATCGTCTTGTGTATTCCTTGGCAATTACAATGTTTTGAGAAGGATTCGAAGAAAGATTATGATAAATTAATTAGTTTGAATATGTTTTTAGTCCCAATATATCATGAAATCACCCAGTTTGTACGCGGGAATGTATCTTTAATGGATTTCAAAAATAATTCTGTATGTTCCCTTGTACATTATGTTTTCTGCATTTTGGTTTAAATCAAAATTTAATGTCATATTTGTTGTCGAGTATGAAGGCATTCAGTGTTATCGCCAATATTTAATTTTATGTCAACTTTATAATTTTTAGTATAAATATAACATTAACTTGACAATAACGTATAGTTTATTTAGTTGGTCGGACCTTGTAGCGGAATATACACAAGCTAGAAATTTTGGCTGCAGGCAAATGAGCCTTTTGTGGACCGAGGATGATACTACTTCAAATAAACCTTCACTCTATGTATCAGTTTCCCATATAATTTCTAATATAGATATCATCAGTGTATATTTAATTAGCTCATTGCAATGTAATTGGTCGATAAATAAAAACACACTAAGAACATATCGTCATAATAAGTCCGGGTCCCAATATCAATGCCATCAGCGCATATTTAATTACATTACTTTAATCTGATTGGTAAATCTCTGCGTATGCTGCATTCATTGGGAATTGTCTTAGACAACAAGCAGGATTATCCCTGGCCCCTCCCTTCCATCTCGCACGTCCTTAGCTCTAACATTGCAGCCAAAACCGCCCGTAATCAAACTATTTCCTGTGCATAGGGAATAACGGACTTTTTCTGTTTTTCTCGTTTTCTCTTATCTAGTGACAGTCAATATTTTTTGTATTATCATATATCCCCCCCCCCCCCACAATCTCATATAATAACTTTTGGTCTTCGAAGGAATTATTAGTGAGCAGAAATGCGCCTGTGTATCTGCAGGTAGGGTGAGTCTGTCGTTCAGATTGGGTATAACCCACTTGTGACTCCGACATTGTTTAGAGGGTAATTCATTAGTTCTTCTATCCATTGGTATTGAATGACTTCTGGTTTCATTTAATTGTGGATATTTTTGGTCACCCGTTTTCGGAAATGTAAACTGGATCAGATATATTAAATAATCCACATCTATATTCTCCAAGGAGTCGTCGGATTTTAGTTCTCACCAATTTAGGGGTTTAGCACTGTGAAAAGTTTCAAGATTGTTTTCTTATTATTATTGTGAACATTTTCAACATTGTTTATTCTCGATTCTTGGCCATTTATAAGTAAATTACGTTCAGTCAGTCTTTCAGCAGAAAGGTCAGGAACTTGGCTATCAACACCTTGCATCTTGTCATCATCGTGCAGTATATAGTAAGACACAGCAGTATTTAGTAAGACATATGAAAAAAATACAAGCTGAAAACCTACAAGTATAATAATTTGGCGTGATGTTCCAATTCTTAGAAACCTGAAAAATTAAGAGAAGATATCCACTATATATAGGATGAAGATTATAAGATTATGAACTTTTATTTCCATCCTAGTTCATCTAGCTAGTTATAGCACACTTCCATCCACCCCTCCCTACCCTTTACGCAAACTGTGTAACTAAGTTTGTGGAACTCCTAGTGTGATGAATTTTTGGTGTGAGCGTATGTGGCTTGGAGATAGCGGCGCCTTCTCAACCTCGTGGGTTTACTCCTCGTACTCCGGTTTAGTCCCACAGGAAAGACCCATGCGCGTGCGCTGAGATAATGAAATGAAAAATAACGTTAAACATTAAGAACAACATTTGATGAATTGGTAGTAAGGAACCTATCGATTCTCATCATTCTCTGTTTGTCAGTCTGTCCGTCATGGACGAACACTGTTAATAATCAGCAATCCGCGATCTTGTGTTCCGGAGTTACCCCTTCGCCGCAAACCTTGTGAACGGAATAGAGGATTTTAAGAGGAAATTCGAAAATACTGTGAAGCATTGGGTTCGAAGGAACTAACCCCATCGATATTCATCGTTCCGTGACTTCCCGGTTCCGAAGATTTTGCAAAGGGAATTGTTTTTGTTTTCAAATTCTGACATTGGGACAATGAGAGGATGAGCCCTGTTCTCCACCCATCTTTTTCAAAGTGTGTGGGTATCATGCATAGCAACTACTTTCATCAGACGACCCTAACATAAACAAGATAATGTAATTTTAAGCTTTAATAAGCGAGAGAATAGGCCGTGTCTTTAGTAGAAGTCGTACTTTATTGATATATAAACCATATGTCACTATTTTTTGAAAGTATCGAGCAATCAAACTGATTATCTATACTTTGTCGAAGCATAAACTCTTCACAATCAAATTCAGTCAAGGTTTTGAAGAACCTGGTAGTAAAACTATATACACTATGTTTCATGACTCTCCGTCAGTTAGATTCAAAGTTCAGGGGGCGTAAATGTGTGTGGAGTGGGGGAACATGGTCGGTCCCCAGGGGTGGATCCAGGAATTTTTGCAGGAGGGGGTTTACCGGGTTCCTGAGACAATGTACCCCCCCCCCTCCCGCATGGCCTCTATCGTCATTTTGGCGTATAAACATACACATTGAGCTTTTTAAACAGAGAAATTAAACACCCCGTTTGACTTCAATTTTTATTATGAATTAATACAGTGACATTGTGATTCAATTTCATTGATGCAAAGCATTAATTATGGTATTACATAATGCCTATATCATTATCTCGTGCTTTGAGTGTCCATCCTGTCCCACATCTGACGATAAAGGGTAAAGCACACGAACGAGAAACTTTTCTCATAAAAAGTGTTGATTAAAAAAAAAATAAATTATGTAGCTGAGCAGGGTGTGTGGGTGTGTGTGTGTGTGTGTGTGTGTGGAGGGGGGGGGGTCGACCCCCCTAAACCCCCCTCTGGATCCGCCCCTGGGTCCCAAAATGAGTGCAGTCACCGCAAACGGTCTCAAAACTATGCATAGGTGACTACTGTCCGAACAGTCGTAAATTTTAAACGGATTTCTTCGATTATGAACAAACTACTTAACTCTGGTTATCATAAACTTGCCTGTGTGTTTGAAATCAACTCCGGTTAAATAAAATCCGTTGAACAATATTCCAACGAACAAAAGAGTTCTCTCTTGAAAAATTTGTCTATTTACTTTTAATTTCGACTGCGTGGAAGACAACAATACTTTCGTTACGCGTTGGGCGAAACCAATGAATTTGATGTTGCGGGGGGGGGGTAACTTTGTCAGATCCACGTGTTGCAATCAAAGCAAAGCCTGGTCGTTTGAGTTTGGAATATCAAAGATATCAAATTACGGCAATTACATAGGAGATTTATATTGAAACCATTGCACGGATACTCGTAAAAATAAAGTCATATATATATAAACAGGGCCTAGTATAAGGTTTTATTGACAAAGCACGGATCGCCTGACAATGAATATTAGGAGAACCAGGGTGGGGGGTTATTGCTCTACTTACCCTAAGCCGAAAATGTCATTATCGTGTTTAGTCAAGATATTGATGTGATGAAACATACACCAAGATTCATCATCCTCACTTAATTAGAACTAAAGTTATCGTGTCCTAAAGCATCAACCAATCAAATTGCTTATTGTGACAAAGTACTCTATAACTTTCATCAAATTGAAAGATCCTTTAGGTGCTTAGAACTTTATGACCTCTGCTGGTTTTTGATAAACTTCTGTTAAGGCACGAACTGGCTATGATCTAATTAAACATGTAATTAATTCAATATATCATTTACGGGCTGCACATGATCTATGTGCAACACTCGGCAGGACTTCGAAGGGAATGTACTAGTGGTCAGTGCATCATACCATGACCTGTTAATGACTTCAAAGGAAATAGGCAGTGCAATTACAGATATCATAATCTGATAAATAAACAATACCATCATCATAATATTATGATGATCACTCTTAACCATTTTCCCTAATTGTCGTACGCTATATAAGCGGAAGTTTGCTGACAGTTAGGCAGACAACCAAAGACGACTAGAGACGATCGGAGACGGAGAGACCGCCGTATGGACTCTCACGAGTTCAGCCGCTGCCTTGGCAGAGGGGCAGAATGGTGGATTTAATATAGTTATATGTGTTCCTGTCGTAGTCTAGTTCCTGTATAGTTTAAGTTCCCATATTGTTGTTGTATGTATGTAACTGCAGATGTTTTATATACCTGATGTAAATAAATCCTATATTTACGAAACTGATCTCTGTTATCACTAAAATAGTGTTACATTATCTCCGCTTACCCTAAGCAAGGTATTGATGTAATGAAACTATACACTAAGTTTCTTCACTCTCACTTAATTAGAACTAAAGTAATCGTGTCCTGAAGCATCAACCAAACGAGATAAATGTGCAATTAATTAATATGTCATCTGTTTATTTTGGGTTTCGGCGGGTGACACAAGCCTCACTGTTGGCTTGTTTATAATATTTTCTGAACATAGCTAGAACTGCCTTCTTATTTATGTTGATGCTGATAAGTCCTGGCCAGCGTCTTTGTTATCTTTTTTTAATTAGTGAGCTCATAGTTTTCGGTTTATAGTTTTCGGTTAATTCATACATTTCACACTGTGATTGCCATGGGTATTATTTATAATACATGTAATCAAATAAAACATATTTTCTTGTCTATATTTTATGTGATGCATTCAAACGTCACTTACTCAGGTAATTGTCTTGATGCATCCCGATGCAAATCTGGATTGATACTTAATCTTAGCTACTGTTTCATTACAAGGTTTTAAAGTACCCGTTCCATCATGCCTTTCGGCGACACACAATTTATTATCAAAGTAGGGTCGGATTTTATTACCAGTATATTTCCAGTATTGATATTTGTCGTCAGCATCACATGTGTCAAAAATTAAACGAGCGTTTTTGATGGTCAAGCACCGGCCTTTACATTTAAGTCTATCATTAACGACTGAAATACGACACGTGATTTCAAGTACATCGGGAATAAATTTAAGAGTCTGCATGTCTGTACCTACACTCAGTGAAGAACTATGACTATGCAGCATGTAGAAGGTAGTATTCGTTTCTGGAATCTCTAACTCAAGCAGAACATTCTCTAGGTACCATTTAAAGGGTTTACATTTCAGCCTTTCTTTTAAAGCCAAAGTTGACCTAAGAATGGTCGTGTCCACCTTTGGCAAATGTTTTCTTCCAAATAAAACACATTTGGCGATAGGTAGATACTCCCCCATCCAGGCTTCCGCCATTAACGCCACGTTATTCAAAGGATTATTGGTATTAACGTAAGGGTGCGCCTTATAAACATGGCCAATTGTAGAACATCTACATAGAGCAAGACCACCGCCACACAACCAGCTTTTAATAGCTAGATCAACATCCTCTCCACCCCAACCATTAAAATAATCTCCCATTCCCCCAATCTTAAAAAAGTACTCTCTATCCATAGCGAACATAGCACCCATCAGAGATGGTTGTTGAATGGGGTCCGTAATTTTGTGCTTTTCCCAAATTGATTCTCTGAACGGTCCAAATAAGGCACCGAGGGACCAACTGATCTGAGTTTTCATGCGTTGATTAGAACCGACTGATTCCATTGTATCTGGACGAATAACATTAATCACAGGAACAACAATTCGTGTACGATCTTTTGATATTGCATCTAGTAATGGTTCTATCCATCCACTGTCCACCTCACAATGTGAATCGAAAAAAATGATAACGTTGCCTTTGGTGTGCCGGGCTCCGTAGTTTCTCGTTGACGCTGGTCCCATTTTGTATGGCGTACGAATCACTGATATATGTTTAAAGGGACCGAGGACACGCTCTAAAGGTTCCAGTAAATATTCCCGGGTACTATGGTCATCAACTAGAATTATCTCTTGTACATATTTTAATGGCGTCCTCTTTAATATTCCGATAACAGTTCTAAACAAAGTTGACCACGGTTCGTTTATAAACGGTATAACTATGCCGACTTTCATATCAGGGGGGATAACCCACTTGTGACCCCAACATGCTCTTTTAGGTCTAACATATTTAGAAGTTCTATCCAGTGGTATTGAATGACTCTTGGTTTCATTAAAGCGTCGATATTTTGGGTCACCTGTTTTCGGAAATGTACGATGGATCAAATATATCAAATAATCCACATCTATATTCTCCAAGGAATCTTCGGATTTTAGTTCCGCCCCATTTAGAGGTTCAGCAGAATGATAAGGAACTTTTCTATCAACAACTTGCTCCGTGGCATCATCGAATGTATTTCTTCGTACAGCAGTTCTCAAACGATCATTTAGTAGGAAATATGAAAAAATGACAAGATGAAAACCGAGAAGTATAATAATTTGACGTGATCTTCTAATTCTTTTAAACCTAAAAAAAAACAAAAACAAAGAGAGAATAAGCATTGTAAGAGAATGGAATTACCCCGCCAAGTATCAATTTCATGCTATATCTGGAATAGTAAATCGTTTTCCCCATTATCCCGTAGAGTCATGGTCTCTTTTTATCCCGCGTCGAACGAAGTTAGGGAGGGATATTGAAATGAGTTGCGTCCGTCCGTCCCGATTTCGTTTCCGCAGCATATCTCATAAACGGTTCAATATATGCTTATGAAACTTTATACATACATCAACCTATTACAGTAGCTGACTTAGTTTTTGGTGTACAATTTTGTTTCCGGAACATATCTCATAAACCGTCAAAGATATCTTTATGAAATTTTGTACACACATCAACCTTTTACAGTAGTTGTGCTTTTGGTAATGTTTGTGTTATTATGGAAACAAATTTGAGTTAGTTTTTTGTGTACAATTTTGTTACCGGGGAATGTCTTTTCCTATCCCGATCATTTTGGAAGCCATTTACCACAGTAAATTCAACAACTAACAGCAGTGGGTTGTTTCAATCCCTCAACTTAAAAAATGAAATGTAATGAAATGGGGTTTAACGTCCTACTGTTCTGCTCCGAACTGGGCTTATGAAGACGGGCATACGCCATACAGTGGTCTATGAGGGAAATTTTGCCCGGACAGCGGCAATATGGCCTGCTCTTATATCGAATTCCAATTGTCAAGGGATCTTTTACGTGCACGACAATGTGTACACGGGACCTCGGTTTTTCGTACCATCCGAACGACTAGACAGCTGTCCTTGTCAGGCCCTCCATGCTGCATCACTGACAAGGGGGAACCACGCGAAAATCTGGATGAACTTTCTCGGCCAATGCAGGGATCTAACACCCGATCTCCCAGCCCTCAACTTAAAGTATTCTTGTTTCAAAAACATCTGTAAATAATAAGTCCATATAACACCTTAATATATTATTAGTAGTATAGTATTATGGTAATAAATTACATTATTAAATTGAGAAATTGATTATTATTATTACCTTTAAAAATAAATGTAATGTATATAATTAAAAACATTTTTAATGTAATTTTCCCAGCCCTGGAATAAGATTATACAACTTGAATAGATCGGACTTTTTCGGGACATCGGTGGATTGTCTTGAGCAGTGCGTTTCGATCTCATTTCACTACCAGTTTCATTTCAGTTCATTCAGAAACATTGTATAACTGGCGGTTGTTCGAATCTTTCATGTGTTCCAGGTAACTTGAAAGAAGGTAAACTTGATAACCTTGATCTGTCTGTCTTCGTTAGCCCGTTTGGTGCAGAAAAGTAGGACGTTAAACACCATTTCAGTTCAGAAACATCGGATGGTTTATGGTTGTTCGAACGTTTCGTGTGTTACTGGTAACGTCTTCGTGTGAAGCTCTTTTATTTTGGCTGTAACCCTTTCAATTGATTTAATGTGTTTGCCCGACTCAAAGAACTGAAGAGCTGCCTTTTTACATAATTCGATAAAGATACGACTGGTATAACCCTGTTGATCTCTTTCTCCTAACTTATGAGTAAAGGCAGTAGAAATTTCATTGACACCTCTTTTGGCTTCACATTCATGCTAAATGTTGTAATAACCTTGAGGTGTCTATAATTCCAATTAAGGTACATGTAGTTAAGTTGGGCACACCTAGCTACCGAAGAAAGTTTACAGCACTTACATTTACCTTGTAAACTGTGGGAACATGCATGTCAAATAATGTACAGATATTTGACCCATCCCCGTGCTGTTTGTATGCCTCCTCTGTAATCTCTGGCCAGTTGCCTCCTTCCAGGCCAATCTAATCCTGTCGCGTTTTTCGTGATTAGCAGACTGAAGATAATAGTTATATGTAGGGTTTTACTTTGATATGTGGAGAATAAGGAGAAAGTCATCATTGTCTGCCCAGACAAATTTTCGAGAAAAAAAACCCCAATTAATATTCTTTCGATAACAGATGTCTGATCACTGTGTAAGCCCTCGAAAATGAAAATCGCATTAATCAAATATTTAATTGTATAATGAGTGTTTTCATTTAACCGAGGGGTAAACTTTTGGACTGCTTATACAGTAGAAATTTTTACTTGTAGTCCTATTTCTACTAAATTGCATGTTGACTTTTTGGAATCAACACTCGAGTGTCCAAAAATCTGATCAAATGGATATGTCTGTTGTGCTTCATTTCTATGTCTACATTATTACATTCGAACAAATATATTCAGGTATCATTATTATTAAACAGTTTTGCTTCTTTCTTCGTGAAATGTCAATCATTTCAAATTTGGCATTAGAGAAGTGACTGTAGTGATCTAAAAAGAAGGTTTGAAAACCTATTATTTATTTCAGAAGATAGGGACCATCTGTGAAACTGAATCTAAGGCAATTTGAAGATTAAAAAATATGTTTTAAAACCTCAGTAACAATGTGTGCAAGTTTTGGGGATCATAGATTGTATGCTAATTGTATAAATATTCAACTTTTACCGAACGTAATTTCCAAACAATGTCCAACATCCCCGATCTGGATTGAAGCGACTCTAATCGCCATGGGTTCAGGAAAGCCTTGCCAGAGACAATTGTAGGGTTTAAATGAGCTTCCTATATTTTGTGAGTTTTATGTCTGTATACATGTCAGATGTTTTAATTGCAATCTAGTTGTTGATCCTGTGTTTCAACAGAGGATTCCGGGACACACTTTCGGGCCTGGTCACCCCCGCCTGCATGTCCCTTAAGCCGCCCCTGGTTGAGGACATAATTCATCAAGATATACTTTTATTGAAAAGCAATATAAACATAGATTGCCAGGCAATGTAACATAACCAACCAGCAGCTTCATCGTCCACGTTTAGATTCGTGATTTATTTCTTAAATGTACACAAGGTTTCCAGGCGGGAGGCGTGTGCCATAAATAGGAATCACGATCCAATTTTCTATCAAGTTAGTACAATCAGGTAATAGCATTTAGTCAACAATCTCATGTCAATTATGACAATGGACTCAAAGTTAGAATGAACCTGGTGGACAGGTACTAATCACTACTATGCATAGGCGTACGAGCTGGGGGCTGGGGGGGGCGCCCCCCCCCCCAATTTTGGGCACCAAATGCTGGGAAAAATTTGGGCACACAATTGTACTTTGTAAAAAAAGATAGTGTGTTCTTGAATGTGTCCAATTTAACAGCGAATTTATTATTATTATGTAACATACTAAGAACCTAACTACATTTTTTGGGCACCAACCACCACCGCCCCCCCCCCCCCAGTCAAAATTTCCCCGTACGCCTATGCTACTATGTGCTTATTATGCCATTTAAATCTATATTTTTCTTTGATCATTTGAAATATACATTGACGTATAGAGTAAGCTCTCATACCAGCAGATTAAACATACATTATGCAAGAGCTAAATCTGTCTATTGCCGGTCTTTCTTTAGGATTAATCTGACTGAAATTTTCAGCAAATTCCCTTTACATTATCGAGTTTTTAACTATTATAGTGAGAACTGTCACCTCTTTATTTAATCTCCTATAATGTATATTTAAGGAATACACACAGACTATGTTCATTTGTTTAGTGATTATCGTAAATTTAATTAGTAGACCTTAACATTTGTGTCTTGGGCTTATGTCGCACTTGACTGAAATATCAATTAAATTTTTCTATGAAGATTAGAACTAGTATACAATCACTAGATGCCAAATAAAATATTAATACATATATTTTCACAATAGCGTGAAGCGTTAAAGTTAATTGAAAACTGCTAAAGTATTTGATCTTTTAATAACAACAGATAGATCAAAGAAAATAAAAAATATATATATAATTTTGTTGCTAAATTCGAAAAGCTTAACTTTTGTTCACTGAAATACGGAAGTTAAATCACAGTACTGATATTAATTTTAAAAATAAAATGTCACTTCTTCAGATAAAAAAATATAATTTGATTTGCTATACCTGAACATCTTCAACATTTGAATCATACTTGAGTACACCTGAATTATTCCGTTAAAAATAAAGTACTGAGTGTATTGATAATAGTATAAAATTAAATGTGACACGTGTCTTACCCGTTATGGTATATTAGTCAATATAGCTCAAATTTTAATGAAGTAAAGGTATGGATTTCTTAAAGTTAATATAAAAATTAATATTAATACATTATTATGGGGTGGTGAAAAGTTCAAGGATTAGACAATGTAATAACATTGTAATGAAATCTAGTGTTCTAAATCCATATCATATGCATGTATTATTTGAAATAACCCGTTAAAATACATTCTCACGAAAGTATTTATTACGAAGTTATTTCTAATAAAAGTATTCCAAATTTGGTATATATGGAAGTCTGCTCGAATGTTGTCGGGATCATTTAAGACACTGCTTTATAATCAGTACACGAGTCGTGTATTTTATGGTTTCGAGCCCCATTTGTAATAAACAAATAAAAATATGTTCCAAAATGTCCTAGTCTCTCTTAACATTTTATATCTTTCATGGCCATATTTTTATAGCATCTGAACGTATACTATTCAAAAAAAGTAGGGGATATTTGATACTAAAATATGCAAATGACTACGAAAAAAGTCACTATAGAACCTAACAGAAGAAACATTTCCAGTTACATGTGACGCCCAAACGCACCAATAGCTACCGCATGGAATGCAGGTGATGCTTGGGATCATCATGGGGGTCCAACCCAAGATTTGCACGACTCTGACTTTGAATGTTACAGTCATTGTGGCATTGAATTCCAGGGTGGAAACATCAGTTTAATTGTTTTAGTGACCAGAAAACAAATTTTGATATGCGTCGGCTTACCCAAAATGAAAGGTTACGTGCCCTTGGCATGCTACAGATCGGCACAACACAGGCGGTTGTGGCGCGGACGATGAATGTTTCTCAGTCTGTCATAAGCAGGCTATGGTCCAGATACCGTGATACACAATCTGTACAGGACAGACCACGCTCAGGTCGACCAAGGGCGACAACTCAAGCCCAGGATCGATTTATCCGTACCTTGGCCTTGAGAAATCGTGTCATCACAGCAAATCAGATCAGCGCTCGTCTTCAAACAGACACTGGTGTGAGAGTGAGTGGCCAGACGATTCGGAATCGACTGCATAGGGGTCACCTTCGCGCCCGACGTCCTCGCGTGATCCCTTGTTTGAGAGATCATCACATTCAGGCAAGACGTCGTTTTTGTAGGGATCGTCAACACTGGGATAATCGACGCTGGAGCAATGTGATGTTTTCAGATGAGTCAAGGTTCACTGTTGATTTTTTGGACAGACGTAGGAGGGTGTGGCGTCGTCGAAACGAGCGCTTCCAAGACGTTAACGTCATCAGACATGATCGATTTGGGGGTGGTTCTGTTATGGTGTGGGGAGGCATCACTGTTGCTGGAAGAACGGCTTTACATGTTGTTGCAGGGCGTGTTACAGGCCAGTACTACCGGGACAACATCTTGGCAGTCCATGTTGTGCCGTTCGCACGACGTCATGGCCGCCGTTTCATCTTCCAGGATGACAACGCAAGATGTCACAGGGCCAGGATCGTTACAGGCTACCTCCAACAACAGAACATCACCACATTACCTTGGCCAGCACTGAGTCCCGACCTCTCCCCCATCGAGCATGTCTGGGACATGCTTGGACAGAGGTTACGTCAACGTCAACAACGTCCTGCCAATGTCCAAGAACTTGCTGCTGCGTTGCAACAGGAATGGGACAATCTGGACCAAAATGACCTTAGACGTCTCATTAGGAGTATGCCACGTCGGATCAATGCTTGTTTGGCAAACAGAGGAGGATTTACCCGTTACTGACTTGGTTGTGATGCTGTGGTAACTTTGCTGTTTGACCCCGGGTATCATTTTACCCTTATAATGGTCAATCTGTGCCTTACTTAGTCTAAAGATCATTTGGAATAAATCGATGAATGTGAACTTCATTTCATTTTGTCATTTGTTTCTTCGTCAGTTTCATTAGGTGACTTTAATAACACTTAAAAATCAAATATCTCTACTTTTTTTGAATAGTATATTAGAGAAGTGATTTTGTAAATGCTCTAAAAAAAAAAATATTTTGTTTTTCATTAAATCAATGTTAATTTTCATTGACCAATAATTCGTGTTTGCAATGTCAAAGATTGTGGATGATACTGAGTTAGCGACTTTCCTCCTTTAACTGTTCTTTTGATATTTTCGCTTGAAAGTTAATTACAGATACACTTATAATATCAAGGTTCTTATAGTAACTTATACACATCGGAATAGTTATCGCGTATTATTTCTTACTTGTGTCAAACTTGCAATTTATTTCTCAATTCTATGTTGTCCCCTGTATTATCTTTGATAATTTCATGTACCTATTAAATAAGTTTCTGCAACTTTTGTCCAAGCCTTATATTAATAAAATAAGCTTAGCACAAAGCAAGCTGTCGTTGAATAAAGGTCAATACCGCTCAATAATGTAGTATAAGTATGGATTTTTTAAATAGTAAATTACCAAAGAAATCCGTTATAAATCATATACTTGCAAATATGTATTGAGATTTCATACAAAGTCAATCCATCAAAAGCATGTTTCCATACTTGCATGCAATTTTAATAAATAATATTCTCAATAACATGTTCTATTGTCAGTCCATATTATTCTTGATATAAAATCAATTTGTCCTTATGGATAATTCAAACATGATTAAATGGTCACTACACATCCAGTAAACAAGAAACGGGAACGCGTTATCAAAATTGTAACTCAAATAATTAGAGGTATTCTTCGTAACTATTTAAGAAATATTCTTATACTCATTTATTAAAAATCAAATCATTATTTTGTCACATGCCGTCGTTCATTTTTTCAAGATTTATTCTCGAGATACTTAGGCCGCCCTCCCTGTCTTCCAAATTTTAAAATATTGGAACCTTCAGTCGCTGGTGAACCAATTATGAAAGAGCGTATTATTCACACATCGTAAATCAAATATTTTCTAACGTTTAACCATTTTTAAAAGATTGGAAAATTAGTGTGTTTGACCTGCGATGTCATTCTTCAATGACATGTTGTGGCTTTCTATTTAAGACTACAGGGGCGTAATACCTGACAACAAAAATGGTCTCCATGTCCAAACGTCGCTAAATAAACTCTTCAAGTAACTTGTATTCCATATAATTGTGTCATGTGTTATTCTCATCCAGTTACTAAATGCCACTTAAACAATTCAATCAACTCTCTAGACCATCGGATGGCGCAGATGTAAACGGATTAAAATACGATCACCATTTAATGATAAAAGCTCGTTATTCAGGTAGAAGGACTGCTTGTTAGAATCTATTTCCAAAGACTTTGAAATATAGGGCTCATAAAAATCTCACACCCACCGTATTCCCTATAAAAGTGCCATTATTATATTACTAATTCCATATCTGGTGAATAACGAACCACAAACTAGTTCGTGAGTCTGTTGCTGTTATTCGCCAAATAAGGAACTGGCGTATTCCAACTATAATAACTATGCTATAATAGTCCTAAATCTAAATCTGGAGAATAACGAACCACAAACTAGTTCGTGGTTGTTATTCGATAATAGCTCGTTATTCGGGTATAAAGATAGCTTATTAAGACTTTGAAGTGATATTTATAACAGCTAATAAAAACCCACATCCAACGTATTCCCTATAAAAGCGCCTTTATTATATTACTAATTCTATACTTGGTGAATGACGAACTACAAACTAGTTCGTGGTTCGTTACTCGCCAATAATGAACTACAAAGTAGTCTGGGGTTCGTTATTAGGTTCCGCAACCAATACGAACTACGAGCACGGTTACGTACTTTGTACTTCGTTTTTGACAGATTTTTCCGCCAAAATGCGAAGTCCGAAGTACGATCTTTAGTTCCACGGTTGTTCACCTGAAACAAGGAATAACACTGTTTAGTTTGGTTAAAGAAGCTCATTGCAATTTGCCCAAAAACAGAACAATTGCCGACCACTTTGACACTGATCAACCTTCTACTGAATTGTAAATGTTCAAGCTTTCTATAAAACCGTTAAAATATGAGTTTCATCCATAAATCAGCGAGAAAATCGCGATTTCGTACTTCGTTTTTTAACCACGAACTTTTCCCGATTTCTTCGTAGAAAATGAACGAACCGAACGCCACTTATGTCTTTAAATACATACAGGTGATGCTTGATGAGACCACCGGGAAATCTAAATTTCAAACCAAGACTCACAAGAAAGTCATTTCAGTCGATATGTTATCTAAGAATCAAAATATAATTACAAAATAGGAGAAAAATTAGCGAATAGACCACTTTTACTTCCTTATTCTGATATAGGTCAAATAACCTAGCTGTCTGCAATTAATGGGCGTTAACAGGTGTTATATTTCATATTAATAATTATACTAAAGCCATGCAGCTTTATACATAAGTAGAATTTTAGATTACCATGACAATGGATATGCATTATATCAAGTAAAAAGAATTCCATTAAATAATCTGACAACAATACAGTACCAGTTTATAAAATCAAAGAGATCACTTATATAATTTGGTTATAAACACAAACAGAGACGGGTCTAGGTGGGGACCCAAGCCCCCCCCCCTCCCCTAAATAACTCATTCTCATGAAACATGTAAATTGAATGTTATATTCAGGTCCAGATATTATGCGCCACAAATCACCATTGACACTCTGATTTTTCCACATTTCCTCCGAGGAGGATGCCCTGCTCCCTAAACAAATATACTGCGTTTTAATTGAAGGAAGGGTATTAAAATTTCAAGACCGAATTCATCCGCTATCGCAATTTCGACATTAAAATCATATTTAGATCCGAGTCAAGTACGCGGTACCAGTATTTTATCTATGGTAGACTAGTAGGTCTACAATGTGACAAAGTGCTTAATTTTCTATTTTATAAAATTCGAACTATTATTTAGATTCTGTGAACTTGTTGACCCCAGTTGGTTCTGATAATATATATGATATTGACTTACAACTCTATATA